TCACAAAATCACCAAAACAAATGGGAAAATTTTCAACAGAGCTCAGCATGCTGGGGGTGCTGAGTTCTGTTGAAAATCTAATCATAAGTATCACAGTGGGAGTTGTTGCATGCTGATATATTTGAAAATCTGGCCTTTATTTAGGCGTCTAAAGGGGGAAAGGGATCTTTGAAAATCTGGTCCTGAGCTCTCTTGAAATTTGGTCGTCTCTGTCTCTATTTCCCCATAAGAAAAATGGAGATATAAAGTCCATTGAAATCTTTGGATGAAAACCCACTATATAGAAGCTAAGCATTAGTTACTGTTATTATTTAATATTATAGGAATTGTATAACATGTATTGAATTTCATGCAACAGTACAGTTTTTAAGAAAACAGACTTACTGAAGACCTTTTAACTAACTCACATTTACAGAGCTTTATTGTATCAAAGCTCATAAAGTCATATTTTGTTATATACCATTCTGACACTATATTACATTTTAACTATGTCCCGCATCAACTATTCTATTATGTAATATGTGATATATCAGAAAGATATTATCAGGGCTGTCCTTACCCATATGCAAAGTATGCAGCTGTGAAGGGCACCAAATTTCCTGGTGCCTTGCACAGCTGCGTGCTACTCCAGCCCCTGCTCCATCGCTTCCCCAGGGCCCCCACCCCGCCCCTTCCCTGCCCCAGCCCCAGCCCGACCTCCACCCCCGTGAGGACTCCTGAAGCGGTCGGGCCTGCACTCACCGGTAAGTAGAGCGACCCGGCCCTAGCCTGCTCCGCTCCTCTGGCTCCCAGCTGCGCTGCTGGTGAGTGCTGGGGGGTGGTTCCCCCCCCCCCAAGCCTGGGAGCCAGGGGAGCAGAGCAGGCTGCGGCCGGGTCACTCCACTTCCTGCAGGAAGTGGCCTGCCCCCCAGAGGCCTGGGGCCAGCCTCCCTTCCCTCCTGTGGATGCTTGGGGCCCCACACACACACCCCGCGCAGGGTGGGGGGAGAGCTGCGTAGGGCACCAAAATAGCTAGGGACGGCCCTGAATATTATTGCCTCTTTTTGACCCAAGTGGCTAGTCAAAGTTCCGGGCTCAGTGGGTGGTCCAGTTGGGAATAGAAATTGGTGGTGGCCAGGTATTTCTTTTATGCAATCTTGTTTATTTACAAGGAATGTACAAAGTCCTGTATCTCTGACCACAGAAGGATCCAAGGAAAAAAGGAGCAGTTTCTCAGTTTACAATCCCCACAAGTCCCTGTAGCCAACATCAGACTCAAAAACTCTCTCTCTAGCTTTCTCCAGGGTCACACCATGCTTAAAGGCTCCTGCTTGGCTTTTTCATGCCTCTCTTCTTCTGCCTTCTTATCTGTGATCTTTTTGTGTGTTCTCTCCCACACCTACCCAAAACAATCTAACCCAACCCAGACCACCCAAAAGTTCCTGGGTGGGTTAAAACACACATTTCGTTTTAGGTGGGGCTTAATCCAAATCATAACAAGGTTTCACCCAGCTCATAACAATATTGTAAAAACTGCATGTTTCATTTTAACATTTCCAGTAGGTGTCTCCAGTGTACCGTGTAGAAGCTTTAAAAACAACAACAATATATAACCACACTACAAAATAAGAAATGGCATAATTAAATTTGTTTACAAAATTGCATATGAAAAATATTCAATGCATGGAGTCCAATCCACCTGGGAAACAGATGAGTAGAAGTTTGGCTATTAGGTTACAGAATTAATATGTCCTAGTTCATGTAGAGCCCGTATAGCTACTATGGTGGGATTTTCAAAATCACTCAACACTGAGTTAGGCCAATGCTTAGTGCTCCATAATGGGGTTCATGAGATATTGTACAAATGAAGAACACACTATCTTTTCATACATGGTCCCATGATGTACAGTATCCTATTGCTTACTGTATTACTTCCTCCTCAAGACAGCCTACTTCTTTCCTTCACAACCTTGATTATCGATGATCGTTAAGACTGTATAATGTAGGGAAGGTCACCTGCAAAGGTAAAAATGATATTTTCCAACAGCAAACATGAAGCTTTCTGACAAGAGGTTTAGTTTCTGAGACAAAACTAAATAGTTAAGCATACATAATAAATGTAATACTTATTATATACATTATTGCTGTTTTGTTTGTGGTTTATGCCTCCCAATATAATCTCTCCGGTACTTTTCTGGGAAATTTCTTCTACTATGTTAAAATCAGTTGATTCAGAAAAGCTGGTGTTTTAGGTGCTAGTTATTGAGGGTGGAATGCAAGTAAATCTTCCACTTCTCAAAGATAAGCTGTTTGCCATGGGGACAGTGTTTTCAATATGTGTGTATGCATTGCCTAACACAATAGAGCCTCAGGTCTGATTAGGACCTCTAAGCATCATCACAATCCAAATACTAATAACAATTCTGTGTGAGACAGTATGGTGACTTGATTGGCTCCTGCTATAGGATCTCCTATATCTTGGCTATGTTTTGTGTATAAAGAGACAGATTATTTCTGCATCAGCAGAATCTTGGTAGTATCTGTTGGGATTATACATTTGAAAAAAGTTTCTTCTGTTGGTAACTCTAATCTTCAGCTGTACGGATAAAGAAAATGGGCTGAAATATCAGAAGAAATGAGTGGGTGGAAGAAATGAGTTGGACAGAGCGACTGAGAGGAAGGGGTCAACTTTCCAGTGTGCAACTGTCTCCATCCCATAATGTCATCTATATCCCATAATTTTCATGCCTTTTTAAAAATTCCCATGACCCACGTGGTTGTCCTCACTGTTTGCCATCTATTGTCATAAGCATTGCAAGCACAGGACACACTATCCTCCAGTATTTGCAGAGTTGTAAGAAGAACTGAATCAGTGGGAAACATGATAATTTCTTGGAGGATAGATTGCGGTGGGACTAGCATGTTGATGGTGTTCACAAAGTTGCTACAGATGGTAGAGCGCCAATTCTGGGCCCAAGAAATGAGCACTGACTGGTGGGATCGCATCATAATGCAGGTTTGGGATGACAAGCAGTGGCTGCAGAACTTTCAGATGTGCAAGGCCATATTCCTGGATCTGTGTGCCAAGCTTACTCCAGCACTCCAACACAGAGACACGAGAATGAGAGCTGCACTGACAGTGGAGAAGGGATCAGCGATTGCACTGTGAAAACTTGAAATGCCACAACTACCCATTAGTGGAAATCATTTTGGAGTTGGGAAAATCCACAATGGGGGCCACTGTCATGCAAATGTGCAGCAGGTAGGGTGACCAGATGACAGAGGTGAAATATCATGACAGAGGTGAAATATCAGGGC